GTTTGCAAGCCTCGAAAAATTTGCGGATTCCCTTTGAGATTTTTAACTATTTTTTTTTTTCTTTTAAACGTAAATTTTATTTTGTATGCCCTGGCCTTGAATTTCTGATTTTTTAATTTTTCTGAATTACTTGAAAAATTTTTGGCATTAATTTTGATTTGTATGGATCTTTTAGTTTTATAGTCCATCTTTTTTTCTTTTTTTATTATTTTTTTATTTAAATTTTTTATTTTTAACTTCAAATTATTTTTTGCTCACATTTAATTTTATTGCAATTTTTAAATGTTTGTCTTTCATTGTTTTCCATATTTTTTATTAACTTATTTTTCCTTAACTTTTTTAATATTTATTTCTATTTTTTATTTTTGCATGCCTGTTAATTTTAAATCAGATACTTTATGCTTGGTGTTATTTCTTTTTCACAATATTATTTATCGCATGCTTTTTCGTCGATTTAATTTTTATTTATTTCATAATATTTCAGATTAGTTGTATTTTTGAGTCTTTTCCAAAATTTTCTTTCTGCATGACTTTTTATGATTCTACTGACTGCATGCTTTTTTGTCAATTTAACCTAATGCTATTATTGGATAGCAGTTTTTTATTAGAGTTCTTAATCTTTTTTGTTAATTTCTTTTTTCATGCATTCAATGTAGTGCCAATAATTGCATGCTTTTTTGATAATTCAATTCTTATTCTTGCGTTATATTTTGGATTAATTGTAATTTTGATTCCCACTTCTTATTTGTTTAGTTGCATGCATTTTTTATAGCTTTCCTGACTGCATGCCCTTTATATAATTTATTGCTAAACTAACTTATTGTTATATATAATATGTGCTTTTTTTAATTTCGTTTTTGTATGCATTTTGGGTTACTTTTAATTACTGCTTTTATATTTCGTTAACTTTGCTCACACTAATAACAACAACTTTACTTACTGTTAATGCATGCCTTTCTTGTAATTTCACTGACTGCATGGTCTTTTTGCAGTTCTAATAACTGCATGTTCTTCCTGTAATTTTGCTCACCGCATGCTTATGAATTTAACTTATCATTATTATTGGATAATATATTAATTGTAGTTCCCAACCATTTTTTCAGTTTTGTTTTCGCATGCCACTTTCGGTTGCTTTCTCTAGTAACCACATAGTGTTAAAATTTATATATTAAGTCACTTTTTTTTTAATTTGTTTTTGCATACCTTTATTGTAATTCTACTAATTGCATGCTTTTTATTTTTCTATGTCTCTTTAGCACTTTATTTTTGTTGTATTTTACTTATATATATATATATATATATATATATTTGTTATACATTATGCTATATAATATATTAGTAATATTATATATTGCTATATTATATTACATTACGTTATATTATACTAATATTTTATTATATATTAAAATACTATTATATGTGTCATATTATATATTATCATAGTATTATTATATCATATGCATTACATTATAATGTTATATTACATTTACTATATTATTATTATTATACATTGTATTATAATTTATATTATATTTTATCGTATTATAATATTGTATTATCATTAAATTATATCATTTTATATTGTGTTATATATTATTATAATATATATCTTAATATATTAATATTAAATTGTATTATGTTGTATACTTTATGATATTAGATTATACATTATGTTGTATAACACTATCACTATGTGTTATATTATATTAATATTCATTATATTGCTTTATATTATTTGTGATATTAATTATATCGCATAATATTATATTTTATTATATTATTTTTATTTTTAATATTACTGCATATTATTAGCATTACTTTTATTAATATTATTATAATGTTATTATTAATAATATATTAATATTATTATATTATTAATATTAATATTAATATGTACCATTGTTATATAAGTATTATAATCAAATTATTATATCTATTATATTTCTTATTATTTTACAATTGTATTATTTCATTATATGGTAATATATATTCCATTATATTATTATTATTATTATTATTATATTATTATTATCATTATTATTATTATTATTATTATATTATATATTTTATATATTATGTACCATTGTTATATAAGTATTATAATGAAATTATTATATCTATTATATTGCATTATGTAGTATAATATATTATGTTATATATTGAGTTATTATTATATTGTATCATATATTTTATATTATTATGTTATATATTATTCTCTATTATTATAATAATATATATAATATTCTAATTTACATTTTATTATATAATAATATTGGAGTATCATGTTTTATTATATTTATATTATTATATTCTATTATGTTATATCACATTATTTTATATATATATTATTGTATTATTTTATATTATTTACTATACTATTATTTTATTGTATTATATTACATATAATGTATTTTATATTATTATATAATCTTATACTATTAATACATATTTAGTTACATTATGTTATAATATATCATATTGTACTAATATTATGTATTAATATATTTCTTTGTTATATTATATTATATGTCATGCTATAATCATATTATGTTATATCATTTATCACTACTATATTATATATGTTATACTATAATGTCGTGTATATGTTATATATTTTATTATCAGTTTTTATTGTTTATATTGTATTATTTTATTAATATTATATTATTATATTTCATTATATTATGTATTATGTTATAATATTATTATATTATTATCGTGTTATTATAATAAATTATTATTATTATATTATATATCTTTTTTATTATTATATTCTATATGAAATACTCATATTATATTAATATATTGTATTATATTGTTGTATTAAATAATTTTTATTGCTATTATTGTTATTATTTCTATATTATATATTATTAATACAACAATTATTATTATATCAATTTATTATATTGTATTATATTAGATACATTATAATGCTGTAGATTATATTATTATTGTTATATTGTATTATATATTATTATAATAAATTTTGTTATATTATTACATCATTCTGTATTATTTTATAATGTTATTGTATCGTATTTATTTATTATTGTTATGCATTATTTTATATTATTTTATATCATACAGTATTATAATATGTAATATCATATCACATTATTATCATATATTATATTGTATTATTGTTATATTATTATTTTATATTATGTTATAATTTAACATTATATTTTTAATATTATATTATTATAGTTCGCTATATTTTATATTGTAATTGTGTTATTACTATAATAATATTACTGTATTATTGTATTTTTTTATTAATATTATATTATATATTATAATTATTATATTATAACATTTTCTAATGATTATATTACATTGTATTATATTATAATTTTATTTCTTATGTTATCATTCTTATATTATTCTGTTATTATTTTATTATATAATATTATATATTATACTGTATTGTTTTGAGTATTCTATATTATTGTATATTAATATTACTAAATTATATATTATTGTTATTTATACAATTATATATAATAATATCATTATATTATATAATATATGTAGTAATGGTACCACATTTATATAATAATATTACTATATCATATATTATATTATTACTATTTATATAATTATATTATTGTATTATATTTTATATTATTTTTATATTGTCTTTATTGCATCATTTTATATTATATATTACATTTTGCTTTGTTATGATGTAATGAAATGATGGGAATTGAATCTTTAAATCGCGCCAATGTGTATTAATCAGTTGGTGAAATTCATTTTTTGTATTGAAAAATCACGACATGATTAATTGATGTCACCTGTAGGTCGTTTTATCGTTTGAGAAGCATTTGAAGATAATATTTTCATAATATTTGCATGATTAAGAAACCATATTAATCAGATGAAGGGGGTTCATATTCGATGAAGGCATAATGTCAACATGGTTAGTAATTTCTGTTTATAATTTTAGGTCAACGGATTAATAATTTTAATTCTTTTTTTAATTTAAATAAAATTTTGGTGATGTTTATTATTAATTGTAAAAAGTAGCTGGATGATTTCAATTTTCAATCCTTTTCAATGTACTTATTAACTGATTTTTTGCAGGTGTGATATACTGGCAACATTTTAAGGTAATATTTTATCTAGAAGATTGACATAGCTGACATAATGCTGATGAAATGCATATTTTTATAAACTTTTTTGCTCAATTTTTAAAAAGTGATGCTGGAAAATTCATCGCTTCGTTGCGCAAGTCAAAGAGTAAAATTAGTTTTCGTAATTTTTGTAAAAATTGAATTGAAAAAGGGTAAATCGTATCACTTATTCTTCTATCACTTAATAACCATTTAGCGTAATATTTTTATAAAATTTTCTATCATGATTGTCTAAACTATGTTACCATCATGGGGAAAAGTGATATCCGATGAAAATATGGCTTCATGCAAAATTTCGAACTAATCGAACGATTTCTATATAATTTCTATTTCTATATACGGCTGTAGCTGTAAGTGTTGCTTTTTATATTTCACAAATTGTTATGAATATTCAGAAATTAGACACAATTTTCAATCTGATATCATAAATTTGAAATGGATTGATGGGAAGTAAGTATAATCAATAATGGCACAGTTATTATCAGGTGAGAATTTTCTGTTTTATTAGTTAATTTTGCGCTATAAATTAAATGATTTTGCTACATTTTTTATAATTTATTGCATACAGTCGGTTGCTTGTTGGTTGCTTTTAATTTTTAGCTCTTTCCTTCCAGTTGAAATTGTCTCAAAAGTAGTGCTGGTAATATAAGCCTTAGTTGTTCTTTGTTCTTCAAGTCATTCGGAATATTTCTTTATCAAAAAAAAAAAAAAAGAATCAATTATTTCTCACTTACTTTGATTTAATTAAAATTAATTAATTTGACATCATTAAAAAATTCAGAGTTCGTTTCATTTTATTGCATATTTTAAGGCATTTCTTAGAAAACAAATTTGTCAAAATTTATTTCAACTAATATATCAATGGCTACAATGGGATCATATTCTACATTACAATCATCCGATTTTTGCTGGAAGTACGAATAAATTAGAAATAGATAAGCTAATTTATTAAGTATTGATGCATTCGAAATTTAATCTTTTCTTTCATTTTTTTTGTTTTGATAAGAGGAAGGAAGAATTGTAAATTAATTCAAAAAAATATCGTGAAAACATTGAAGTAATTACGATAAAAAAAACTGTTGAAAATTAATTTTTCAAAAAAAAAAATAAATAAATAAATAATAAGCAAATGGCCAAGCACACATAGCCTAAAAATAAATAGTTGGAAAAGAATTTTTGTCTTGATGAATAATTTGAAATCATTTGCATAGATCATCAGCAAAAGATGCATTATCATCGGAACATTTAGATGAAGGAGCACGTCCAGTATACTCGAAACAATTTGGTAATAATTCAAATTACTCAAAAAATTTACTCAAATTACTAATTTATACTTTTAAAAAATCTTCTTTTTTCAGTGCTAACAAATGATATACAACATTTTATACCAGAATATATACGTGAGAAATTTCATGAACCAATTGAGCCAAATTTGTGTACAATTAAAGTAACTTGTAAAGCTGAAAAGAAGGAGTAAGTAGTTTGTTGCGTAGAAAATTTTGAATTTCATAATTTTAATTATTTTATAACTTTTTAATTTTAAGATTTCCGACATTAATTCCATTTTTTTTTTCCTAATCATCTAAGAAATTTTTTATATTATAATTTGTAGAAATATGCATTTTAACCAAAAATCTATTCAGACAGCTATTTTATACATTTCAATTGAATTGGTATAAAGATAAAACGCATATCGACACTGACAGTAGTGATATGGTAATTTCCAAATCAGAAAAGTCACCGATAAATGGTATGCAAAATTAAGATCAATAATGTATTTGCATTGATTTATCCTTTCGTTGTTAGATATACTCTTGTTACTTAGATATTCCTACTGCTAAATCTGTTAATGAGTAGGCCGAATAAGTATTAAATTATCGATTAATTGGAAAGAAAATTGATAATAGCTCTCTTTAGTAAAAAGTGGTTGCTTTAGAATATAAATCGATCATATTGCATTGATCCAATTATATCTTGATTTAATTTTGATTCACTTTCATATTACTTTTTAAAAATAAATTCTAAAACGAAAAAGATTGTCTTCTTTTTAAAAATATTATTCATCAATCAATAACAATGTGATCCATAATGATCCTTTTTTTGTATCTTTCCTTTTGTCAGCGTTAACTGTAAACTGTTAAAACATTAAGCATTTCTTCCCAACTAACAGTAATATCCCATTTGTCATTTATCAAAATTTGCATAACTCAAATTTAATAATTTTATAAATAGTATATATGTGAATCTAATTATAGTAATACAACAAAATGAATTAAAACAAGAACGACCGTTGCAAAGTTTAGAAACAAGCGTTGAAATAGGTATGTATCAATCATTTTATCTATTTTTATCATCAAAATTTGTGCTCTTTTTATTTATCTTTAAAAAAATATTAAATGACAATGACGAAATTAAATATATTTTCAATTATTATAGCTCCAACAACAACATCAACAGGTGAAGAAATCCGTTCCTGTGATGGACCGTGTGGAAAAATGCGATCCGTAAAAGAACTTTGGGTGCATGGACGTTGTGAACACGCAATCTGTCGTTTTTGTACCATTAATGCACCAATGGTTAAAAATATTGATGGTAAAATTTTGATGAATAGTTGAGATAAGAATATTATTATTAATTTTGGAATATTTCAATTAATTTTGGTTTTTTTTTTTTTTTTTTTACTAATTTTGAAATATTTCACTATATAAGTTGCAAATGATAACTATGATAAATTTGAATTGTAATGTGCCTTATATATATTCCTAAAATTGAGAAAAAAAAAAAACAAAAACAAAAACAGAAACGATGAATGCAGCAGTATTAATTAATTGAAACAACAATTTTCAAAAAAAAAAAAAAAAAAAAAGGAATAAAAATAATTGAGGTAAAGAAATTTTTGAAAAGTTTTCAGGTACTCCAGGATGTTGTAATCGAGAATGTTTTGCAAGTGATTTAGCAGCACTTTGTCCAGATCCAATTCAACGTCATAAATATTTTCAAAATATTATTAATAAACGTAAAATTGACGAAATCATTGCAACAGGTCACAGAAATAATAGTAACAATAGAAAACGATTGCAGGAAGCTATGGTATTATATTGAAATTTTTCAATTTTTATAGAATATTGTATCAAAACGATAAAAAAAAAGAGAGAAAAAAACATTTATCTTTTGATTTTGATATTATCGAATTAAACTTAAAGAATATTTAAAATGTAATATCCAGTGAACATTAAAATTTTAAGAATTTCTGATATCTTAGTTAGATAATTCAGGAATACCACCATTTTTTTTTTTTTATAATATGGAAGATGAAATAATCATTTATCATTTTTGTCTGAAGAAGTTATCATCTACAACTCAAACTTCACCAGTAAACAAACGGATGGGAGCGAAACGAGATTTGAAAGAGTTAATATCAGTTAAAGTGCTCATTCTCGAGAAAGGTCCAATAGGAACAATTTCTCGTCGTTGTTCTATCAATGAAATTGGCTCTACCGAATCGCTACGTAGCACATTGCAGTGGATTGCTGGCTATGGGTTTATATTTTATTTTATTTCATTAAATCGTTTTCCACACTAATTGTATTAACTAATTAATTAATTAATTTTTAAATTACGATTATTTAAAATTATGACTATGCTTTCACAAATTATCTAGACAAATATTTAATATTCACGATAAACTAATTACACTGCTATTGATGTTTAGTATTATAAATTTCAAGAATTCAAAATTATTACTTTTCATCCTTTGTTTTATCAGCTGTTCAAGTTTTGAATTAAAATTTAAAAATGATATTTTAGACAAAGCCTTCATAAATGTCGCATTTTTGTCAATTATGGTGAAAGTGATGATAATTCAAAGTTAAAAGAAATTAATTTAAAGCAATACGGTGATAAGAAAATTAGCAGTTTTCCATCAGTTAATGGAATGCTTAGTTTTGTGATTGATTACATCAATTTAATTGGAGGAAGTTCAACTTCATCCTATATTTGATCATTCAATAATTTTCACTACCGCTACGAAAATTCAATAAACAAATTTACAATTGAATTCCTTAATATTTATTAATAAATATCTCAACTATCTCAGTTTTCCCTCAATTTCGACGTCATTGTCAATTAATCAAGCAATTAAATTCAAAAAAGTAGTATTGAAATATGCCAAACTTTGTTACATCTATCTTATAAACATGGCACTTTTCTTTCAATCTAACTAAAAAAAAACTAACAGAAGAGTTCTTAATTAGTTTAATTAGTCATATAATTACTCATCGAATACAATGAAATAAAGTTATAATGAAAAATCGGTTCAATTATAGTCATAGTACTCCCATTATACTATACAAAGTAATTATCTACATCCAACCGCAACCAAATTTCTCTGCTATAAAATGTCGTGATATAAGTTGATACTATTTGATAATCCTTATAACGTTAAGCAAATAAGTTTTTTTTCTGAAAATTTGTTTATGTCAACCAATCAACTAACTACAAAGCACATCATCATTAACCAAGTAAAATTTTTCTAAATATTGAGGATTAATTAAATTGAAAAGAATGATCGGTAATTTTATCCACCACTTCTTCAAAAATCACGCTCATAATAATTACTAATAGTGATGACATCCGAAAACCTATTGCAATTTAAAAATCGTATAATTATATTTTAATAGTGTATAAATCGAAGAGAATAAATTGACAGCCACAAGATAATTGTAAAAATCATTGGAAGTTTGGAATTAAAAATTGCATGCTGTGATAAAATTCATGTTGTGATGTAAAAGTCAGTGTCAAATTTAAAAAATTTAATCACAAATAGCATGCGATTCAATTTTCAGTGCTCAAAGTGAACACAAAATACCTTTCAGTTTAGAATGATTTCACTTTTTATTACTTACCAAATACCTTATTCAAACTGAAATAATAATTAATACTACGGTGAGATATTGTGCAACAAAACAGATTGCTTTTATCCAAGATAAAACACTTTTTTTTTGGCAGAATTAAATAATTAAAGTCAAGTAAAATTTCAAGTGCTTACGAATTGATATTCTCTATGTGTGCACCATTTAATAATTGATGTGATCCGTAGGCGTTGCATTACGTAAAACTTATTTACAATGAGTTATATTTTTCATTTCTGGAAATATCATTATTATATTATTTCTAATAAAATTGTGCCTTTAGAAATTTTCGCTGTGAAGCCAAGGAATAATTTCTGCAATGTCAACATCCATAATAAGATGACAATCCATTTTGAACTGGAGAAATTTAGAATAACATTTGCCAAATCGAACTCCAAACGTTATTTTTAAATCCTTTGTTAATTTAGCTAATATTCAATTGGTACATTCAATTCGACATTTAAATTGAATGCAAAAATGTAAAATACACAGCAGGAAAAATTCAGTCAAAATCCAAAAATAATAATAGCAATAATAATTAATAGTAATAACAATATCATGATAATAATAATCATAAAAATAATAATGACAATAAAAACAATGATAAACAAAATCCTTTTAAATAAAGGGATAAAATTTTGTCTCTTTAATAAAAATTTTAAATAAGGCGATAAAATTTACCGAAATATTCGTTTTGATTCGATCTAGTTAATTTTTTGAAACCATACAAATTATTTGCAAGAAAAAGAAAAAGAAAATTGATCGGAATCATTGGTATTTGAAACTCACTGACGAATGTACCAAACATATTTGATAGAGCAATCAGCTAATGGTAGTATGATATTTCTTCGTTGAATCCGATCTATCTTTGTGTTAATTGTAAAAGAATGAAATGAACCAAAGTAAGTTATACAAAAAATAAAAAAGAAATCAGTATATACATCACTTCATTTTAAGTAAGACAATTGCGCAATTGTGGAAAAAATACATTTTATTGCTTTGGAAAGCTTGGCATATTCGAAATTAGGTTTATGCTAAGAAGATTTTCAGTTTTTGGAATCATTATTAGTCATCTTTTGCTATAGATTGTATTTTAGATTGTTTGAACTTTAGACCATTATGCACTAAACCATTCAAAACAGTGATTCCATCTTTTCTCAAGTCGATTTTTCAAAAATAAACATTTTTGCTTCCAGATATTACGAGCTTGTTTGTTGCAAATGAAATGAATGGTAGGAAGTACGGTACAGTTGAAAATAATACAACAATTAACAAAAATCCTCGATGGAATATTAGCTTTTTCACCGAATATTTTGACTGCGAATGTTGGCAGAAAGTTGAAAATAATAATTTCAATTTCCATAAAGAAACAAGTTAATGCTGCTTGAATTAATGTCGACCACTCGTAACTATTAATTTTTCTAGTTCTCATTTCGATTCTAGTAAATATCCTTGAAATTCCTAAATTCAATTCTCTGTTACTCCATTAAATTAATAAATGTGTACGAAATCCAGAAAAATTTATCAGATTCAAAAAAAAAAAAAAAAAAACTCATTCAAAATTGATTTTGAAAATCGTCTTGCAGCGTAACATAAAAATTTAATGATTTATATATTAGTTCAATCTCATTAAGCAAAAAATAACATATTCTAACTTTTGTTTTGATTATGTAACGAGAAACTCCGATTATGTCGGATACCGCAGAATATTGCAATATATATAACGAACACAGCAATAGGTAGTGATGCTGTCCAAAAGTGATAAAATCTGAAAAGTAGTGCAATACTATAAAATGACATTTAACTAATGCTTAATATAACTGTGAAAAATTGAAAAGTACTAGTACTATAGCATTATTTCGAGATGACTGTAAGAATCTTTTGAGGTCAGTGCAATATAATAGCTTATATTGAAACTTTCCAGTCTGGTATTGTTCATTCGAAATATAAATAGGAAATCGTATGTTAATTATTTTGATGCTTTAACCTGGATTCATGCTTAGATGTCACTTAGCCAAATGTCTAAAATAGGAATTTCCTGTACCTTCCACAAAATTAGCCTAGCCTTAGTACACTAACAACTGTTATTGGTTGGTAAGCAATTTATAAAGAGACGAAAATTTAAATCATATTTAAGTGGATAGTAGTTGATATTTTACATAGTAATTTATCATTGTCTTCATATTTTTTGCTCTCAACTAATAGTATACGGTAAGAAAAGTTCACATCAATTTTGAAAGAGCGTATAATTTTTGAACTGAATGCAAAATAAATTAGGCGTAATTTCAAATTGAAACAAAACAATTTCTTATTATAAAACAAATTAAAGCGCTTCAAAATGAGTCATTTATTATTTGAATGAGCAATTTGTTCTCATTTATTTCTTTCATTACTTTAACTATAATCATTGTAAGTTACAGCCTACTAAATTTAAAGTTTGAATTTTACTACTTTTGAAAGTGCAAAACAGTTCGAAATTATTACTTGATGAACAATTCTCCACCATCCTTTGACCCTACTGTACAATTTCTATACCAGCGTAAGTCCGAAATACAATACATTGCAGTACAATAATTAAAATTGGCTGCTGTGATAGCTGAAATTTCAGCTTTGTTCTGCATAAATGATAAAGCAAGAAAAAAATACAGGAATGAAGAATTTAAACATGAATTTATATTTATTTGTATCAATATATATTTCCAATACTTATTTCATATATTTCAAAAATAATGTTCAGAAACTTTCCATTACTTAAAACATGTCAAAAAAGTTACTTAAACATTTATTTAGATGGTCGATTTAACCATGAGCTGTTTACGATTGTTTTTGACATTTTTTGACTTTTGACATGAGGATTATCAATGGAATCTTACCAAAAGCTAACAGCCATACGCAACATAGCAGAAATATCAATTTCTTAGACTCGAAAATGCCATGAAATTTGGGTAAATTTATGATTACAAAACGATTCACAGATAACAAAAATGCAAATTGCAATGTAGCAATAAATAGAAATGTATCCATATGAGAGAATATGCCACCAGTCCATATTGTATTACTTACTAAAATATGCACAAATTAACATTAACGGTAGTTTTTAAAATGTTGGATATGAATAAAACCATTTACTATTAATAATGAATACATAAAGAATATATGCTTCATAATATTTAAAGGCACAATCGTACAATAAAAACTACATCGTTAATCATAAAAAGAAAGATACTTGATCAGATAGAAGCCTAAATAATTATTGATGAAGAAAAAAAAAACTCAAATTTTTGCACTTTGTGTAATTAGAAGTTCGTAAAAATTGAACTTCTTGTTGAGTTTTAATGTCGTATAGTTTTAAATTGTATGTACTAAAGTTTCTCATATAGCGAGTTATTGTTAGCATCTTTAGTAGTATTAACATTCATTCCTCTGGATTTCGAATGATAGTATGAAATGTGGCATTAATGTTTATTCCTTTGAATATCATTTTCAAAAAAAAAAAAAAATATGATATAATCATTCAAAATAAAGGGATCATTATATAACACAGATGTGAATGGAGAATGGATAAATAAAATAACTTACCATTTGAATTATCTTTATTTTGCAATATTTCAGGCAAAATAAATAAAACTTGAAGAAGAGAGATTGAAAGGTTGCAAACGATAAGTTGTGATGTGATAAGAACAAATGAGTGATTGTAAAGATTATCTCGACGACAAAATTCAAATATCAATAATACATTGCTAACAATACTGTATAACAAAAGCAATGAAAACAGTACAACCGCCACGTATCTTTCTACCGTATTACGTTCATCCCTTATATCGAATACATTTGTCGTATTCTCTGCGTGACAATTTAACGGTAATATCGAAAGTAATACAGTAATACAGTAATAATAAGCCACCATTTTGCTTATTGACAGTCTTTTCCGCTTTATTTCACCTCACTTCAGCTACGAAATAAGTATTAATAAAAGTTTAAATGCTTGAAATATTAATACTAGAAAATGATTTCAACTCAGCGTTGTAAGAAATCTTTGTCATTGTAAAAATGTGTTAATATTCAAATGAAGGAAGTAAATTTAATAAAGCGAAATGAGGTTCTTGCTCTTGTGCGTATCAATCAAAGTTGCTGAAAGGAATTTGATGTAATCTACCATTTTTAATATTAAATCATATTAATAAAAGTTAAATTTATTGAACATTTAAAGTGAATAGAAAGCATAAAGTAAGTTCATTTTGTAGCTTTCTCCTCAGATATTATAAGATTGAAATTACTGATATAAGAAAGAAAAGAAGTTGGCATTTTCCAATTATGTGCTTTGATTCATTTTCTATATTGCTAATATAAATAAGCTAGCAAAGTCTTCATGAGGCATTATGTAATTTGCTTTTACATAATACCAATAATTGAATAATACGTAAAGGTACAAACATATTAGGGATAATATCATAATGATACTTTCAGATAATGAAAATGTGACTTACTGTAACTTTTACAAATGTGTAATACCAAATGTGGCTTACTGTAACTTTTACAAATGTGTAATACCAAACGTAACTTTTGTCTAATGATAGCTTCTATTTTTCAATAGTTTATGAAAAGCAATAGATCATATATGAATTATATCAGTTGCGCATATTTACTCAAAACTTAGCTAAAAATGAATTGGATGAATTGAGATGATAGTCAAATGACTACAGAATCAATATTGGCTTTATCATTAATATCAATGGCCATCAGAAATCTTTGCAACTATGAAATAAATTTTTAGTCAAGATGAATGAACCATATAGAAAAGGGATGATAAGATAGCTCAATATACTAAAATAAAACATAAGAGCATGAGATAACAGAAAGCGTTACAGTTCAGCATAAAATAGCTATAGAATATAAGCTTGTGCTATTGAGCAGAAATCAAACATGGTTATATTATATTATATTAGTGCAGATGAGAAATTCAATGAATTTTATTTATAGTTAGTTTAAGTGGTATACAGTAAACATTCTTTTCATGACCTTAATTTTAGAAAATAATTTTACGAGTGTTTGTTTCACGCTTTCTCGAAATCGTTTGACGAAAATTAAATTGGCGGTAGGCAATATAGCAGCACTGAAAATTACAAAACAGTTGATCAGAATATTGACGGAAATTTCAACTTCTTTGCCTACCAGTTTGATGGCAAGCTTCGACAGAAAGTTGAAACAGAAAATTTGAATTTCCATTGCACCACAAACAAACACTGCCTGAATCAACATCATTCGTTCATATTTGCTTGTTGCATTCGCATTCTTCTGCTCACGTCCTATAAAAATTCTTATAACAGCTAAATTTAATTACTTCATTTAAAAATTAAGTGAAATAAGAAAATGAAAAAAAAAAAAAAAAAAAAACTGAAATGATATTGAAATCCTAAAGATTTCTGAAAGTGTTTGGGAACGAATTCAAAGGAATATTTATGATAAATGAACATAATTTATGTTTTTTCAAGGTAACGGCAATAAAAAAAGTAGTGCAATGATATATAAATTACCGTTCTCAATGCATAAATTCGAAATATTCTTCCGTTTGTTACGCATACTGCAGAATATTAGAATATAAATTGCGAACATCGCAATGGGTATCGCAAGAGTCCATGCATAACGAATTCTGAATACATATTTGTACAAATATGTATGCGGAAGTAAAAATGTTAGCCGATGGACAATAATTGCTTTAGCAAAAAGAAAATTGAACTTATAATCATCAAAACTGTAAATATACTTAAAATTCTTCCGTTTTTTATGCATATTCTTCTTTTTTTAAAAGGAAAAAAAAAATGAAATTCAAGGGAAAACGAACTTCATAAACACAGCTCCACTTTCTGGCGCTCTTTTGGTACAATTAAATGACCATTGGAAGTTTGACACATTGAAAATTTTGATGCAATAATGAAATTCTACTAGCGATATTACTGAAAAATCATTTGCGAAATTTTAGACACTGATAGTTCATCATAAAAGTGAAATTAGTATGATAAGCTCGTAATGTTGCTTACATTTTGACAAGGTCAGGCATAAATTTATCACTGAGGTTGCAAAATAATTAAGTTCTGATAAATCCAGTTAGACTGACTGCTATGCACTGAACAACCACCGAATGATAATTTCTAAATTTAGTTACGACTTAGATTAAGATGCCATTCGCAGTCTCTTTTTAACCAATTATTTTTTATAAAATATTGCATAAAATGATTAGTGTAACCTACCGAAACCTGATAACCATAGGAAGATGAGCAGAAAATAGAATTTCATCGATTTGAAAAAAGCGTTAAATTTTGGAAAACATATGGCTATAAGGCGATTCATTGCCAATAAAAATGTCAAGTGCAACGAGAC